CATGTGCATGAGTGCCTGTGCCCCCGCACAAACAGCATGCCACCGTTCGCGCATGTGCACAAGCTCTTATCAGCCAACAGTGTGATGTGGCTATAAGAAAGGCAAATGCTATTTTAGGCTACATTAACATAAGTATAGTTTCCAAATCTTGCAAAGTGCTAGTTCCCCTCTATACAGCACTGGTTATGCCTCACCTTGAGTATTAGGTCCACACACTCAACCCCACACAGCTGATTTGTGCATGCCCCGAGCACCGTGCCGCCATTTGCGCATGTGCTTGAGCGCCCACCAGAGTGCCGCCGTTTGTGCATGTGCATTGTGCCTGTGCCACTGCACAAACACCACACCACCATTCACGCATGTGCACAAGCTCATTCATACATGTGCATGAGCGCGGGGGGTGCCCCACCTTCCCCAGCTGGTCTGCAGGGTGAAAAAGGTTGGGGACCCCTGATATAGAGGACAGGCAGGATCTGTTCTTGATCATCCCAGAGTGCAGGACACGCAACAATGGGCTCAAATTAAAGGAAGCCAGATTTCAGTTGAACATCAGGAAAAATTTCTGAACTGTTAAGAGCGCTACGACAGTGGAACCAGTTACCTCGGGAGTTGGTGAGTGCTCCAACACTGGAGGCATTCAAGAGAAACTTGGACAACCACCTGACAGATATCCTTTGATTTGTATTCCTGCATCAAGTAGGGGGTTGGACTTGATGGCCTTATAGGCCCCTTCCAACTTTATGATTCTATGAACTTTCAAAACTAGGCCAAGGGCTCCAGTTTGCTCATGCTTATTAAACAATACTACCACATCTTATCTCGTCCCCATTGTTTTCTAAGGCAAAAGTTTTGATTTTTAAAAACAAAGTCCTGTTTATATAAGCAGGATTTTGCCCACAAATCAGATTTTGCTCATGACAGCTTTTTCTAAAAATTGTATGTTTGGTATGCTTGTTTTATAAATCTGTCAACCAGCACCTTATGGTTCGTCAATATTGAAACTAACTCAGTTCTTCTGTTGCCCAAACACATTTTGTTCTCAGATATAAATTCTGAATATTTCTTGCCAATATCTTCAAGATATTTGATTAGATTAAGAATCCCCAGTAACATAACAGGGCATAATTAGCTCTAAAACGGCAAAAAGAGGATCATGAAAAGACAAGGGTGGTACAGTTATAAAACATGCTATGAAAAACACAGTGGTAAATTATTGCAATGATTTTATGAAAAAAATGACTTGTTATAGTCTCCCCTATCAGGCCCAGAGATAATAAGGACAATAACTTGAACCATTTATAAACTGCAGAAAACACCAGATTATAAAAATGCTTTAATAAGTATTTCCTGTGAAAACTGACTGTAAGGCATAAGGATACGCTACTATCTTTTTAAAGTGTACAATATACTTAATGGGAGTGTCAGTGCCCTATTTTTTTGTTTTGTTTTCCAGTAGAACACATACAGCATAACTGCATTTGATAGTAGTGGTGGGAGACTGTTAGAAGAGAAAGGACTCTCACTTGCATCTTAAGAAGTACTAAAAGAGTCCCAAGTGTTATGCTTGCAATAAAACAAATAATGAGGGCTAACCTGCTAGAACCATCCTGGTGCATTTGGCAATTCACGACTGATTCATAGTCTCCCTTCCAGCTCTGCAGTTCTAAGATGATGACGATGATATCAAGCAAATGACTCAAATTTAAGCAAGGTGAACATCAACACCAGACCCAAATATGTATTTTTGTTATTTGTGAAGTATCTGTACACATATAATATGTATTTCATTAAATCAAAGGCACCTGAAGCTTAAACTAAGCCACCTTGGGTCCTTTCAAGGTGAAAGGTGGAGTAAAAATATTATAAGCAAGCAAGCAAATAAATAGTGTCATAAAACATTTGTTGATTACTGAACAGCAAATTGTTAATCTTGGGGATGGAGAATTCCTTAGGTTCCAAGGGAAAGATGCTAAATAGTGTGCGAAAATAATGAAAATAACATGGCCTGTTACTAATACTAAAAGTAAGGGAGCAAACAGATCAAAGGAGATATATATGACCATCTATCTATGTGAGAAGAGTCCTAAGTCTATAAAGATCAAAGGAGATATATATGACCATCTATGTGAGAAGAGTCCTAAGTCTATATGCACTACAGCTTTCTAGAGCAAGAACCCAGCAGTAGCAAGATGGTCAGTTAGTGATTAGCATAACTGTATGTAAAATCTACAAAACGCTCCTAATTTTGTTTTTAAAAATAAAAACTGAAACCATAGGAAAAAAGGGCTGCATTTCCTGTATGAGAAAAATAAATTTTGGACTTAAAAACATGAGGAAAAACAGGAGACTGCCCATATGCTTTTACTGCAATCAAGGTCATAAACTAGGCAGCTGACCTGTAGAAAATTCCCTCAGGAGACTATTCTGTCCATAATTTTAAAAAGTACTTTTGCCAGGTTACTTATACTGAATTATCCCTGCAGTAAACCAACTAAGCAGCAGCTTCCTAGTAGAAACAACAACAACAACAAAAACTAGCACCATAATCTGCAAACATTAGAAGCCTATTAGAAAAAGTCAAGTATAAATAGATTATGGAACGGAGCTTAAAGTATTTAGTGTAAGAGCAATTATTAAAAATTTCCCCCTCAGCAAGGGGTAGAAAGAAACAGGTCATTCATTGCTTCCATTCCAGAATCCATTCGTTCTTACAGAATCTAAAGAACTCTAACTGTACTGACAAGTTAGTTTTAATTTCCCAGCAAAATTATGCTTGAGTCACAGCCAGATGGCACCACTCTCAAATTTTATGCAGTCAAATAAGACCGGAAAAATTTATTGCTCTCCAGCATATTTTCTTGTAGGAAATCAACTGGAACTCAATGCACCTGAGAAGGTAAAAATCATACAAACAGAACCAGTTACTCTGTCCACTCCTTTAGCTTCCAGCTGCAAGTGCTAACTGGACACCCACGAGTACAACCCTAAATAGTTAATTATCAGGGTTTCCCGCATCACATTTCATTGTAAAATTCATTTCGATTTGTGAACACCAACTGCAAACTTGGGTTTACCTAGGAGTCAGTCACACTAAACCCTCTGTTGAATAGCTCTTGCCATTAACAATGTCCTCTAATGTTTAGCCTAAATGTGCTTCCCTCAAATTTATGCTCACTGATTCTGTATCTGCTCTCTAGAGGAACAAACAACATCACAATCCCTCTTCTATGTGACAGCTTTCTGCATATTTGAGGGCCACTACCTTAATTTTCTTTTTTCCAGGATAGACAAACCCAGCTTTTTCAAATGTTACTTACAGAACTTGGTTTACAGACCATCATCATCCTGATCATTCTTTTCTGGACTCACTCCAATATGTCAATGTGCAGCATTCATAAATAAATTATCCCAAATAGATATCAAATGGAGCTGAACTATCAGTTCCTATGATCTGGACACTGTTTTGTAGCTGACAAAATCAACCTGTTGCAACATAAATTAGTACCATGTATCACAGATTTTGGACAGTGTCATCGAAGCTACCAAGATGAATTTGACCAAACTCCAGTAGGCAGTGGAAGACAGGAGGGCCTGGTGTGCTCTGGTCCATGAGGTCACAAAAAGTCAGACATGACTTAATGACTAAACAACAACAATCACAGATTTTAATTTTGTTTTAAATGAAAACTACCCCAGAAAAAAATCTCTTGAATTTAACAAGTCTATTTTTGTTTGTGCAGAATTTATTCTATTTTATGGAATGCCTCATTAGTTATATTGCATATGTAGAGAGAATGTGCCATTTAATGTTGACCAGATAGCTGCCTGATTTATTGGGGGGGGAGCTTAGCTGAAATCCACAAGCACACTTTCTGCTCCTGCTTTAGCCAAATCATGACTATTCCCTCTCATAGCATTATAAAAACAGTGACTATGGAGAGATCATCAAGAAAATCAGGGGAGCAGGAATCATGAAGATGATCATCTGAAAGTTCTATTGCAAGGTTTCAGCTAGAATTGGAGACTCTGATCATGACAAGTTATAAAAATGGTTTCTGAAACCGACCAAGTTAATCTGCTTCAGAGTCCTAAAGTGCAGCAGCAGCATCTTCATCCCAATGCTAAATTACTGTACTTAAAACAATGAATTGAGGCTGAAACCACAACGTATGTCATTCTCGTTCATCAATTCTCATAGTCTAAAATGGAATAATATGTGCTTATCCTAGCGAGCTTTGCAACGCCATCCTAAATGCATCTTTACTCCAAAGTAAAGCACCCCACGGGGTTCAATGAGGCTTAATTCTTTCTAAATATGACTACATAAAAAAAGATCAACTGTTCACTCTCCAGTCGTCATCAGATAGAACAGCATCGTGGAGTCATTCCCTTCCTTGTGAAGCCTTCTCCAGAGAGCATCTTCAGCAATATTTACTGTACTCCCTCTCCTTTTTTTCTCTCTCCCACCAGGCAGATAATATCCCCAGTCCGCTAGGTGTCCTTTCTCCGTTTTTCTCCTTCTTTGTCGGTCAAGAGGGACACCAGGCAGGCCAGCACAGCCTCCAAGTGAGGAGGGGCTGGGATGCAACCTCCCGGGAATAACCAACACCCCGAAGTATTCCCTCCAAGAGGCAGCTTGGGAGGAAAGAACAGAAAAGCAGCGCAGACGGAGAACGTATGCAGGAAAAGGGAATAAGGCCGACCTACGCTCCCACCGTGGTGTTTTCTGAGGATGGCCGGAGGAAAGGGGGAGCAACAGCGAAGGGAACACTGGAATTTTCCTACCAACTGCGCGGAAGTCCGCCATGGAAAGGACGAGCCTCCCTCAGTCGCTCGCTACTGACGGGGTCCAAACACACAACAAGCACCACCAGGGGCTGAAGCCCAAGCTAAGCAGCCTCTTTGAAAGGAAGAAAAAAAAAACCAAGCCCGGGGGGGTGGGAGTGAAGAAACCCAACGCCCGCCCCAAAACAAATCCCGCAACGCGACCCCACACCTACCGACCGCGCGCGCAAGACACCATACAGGTCAGCCTCCTCTACTAGCAGCAGCAGCAGCAACAATGCCAGCATGTGTGGGGAAGCGACTGCGCAAGCGCACTGCGCCTTGAAGAGAGCGTCCCGGCGTGTGCGCAAGCGCGGAGCCTGAGGCGTGTTTAGCACTACAGAAGGGTGAGATGGTGGAATAGAGAAAATGAGTGAGCAGGAGATAATTGGCGCATGAAGGTTGTTCTTCTTTTTGTTGTTATGTGCGGTCAAATCACCTCCGACTTATGAATGAGCGATCTTCGAAACGTCCTGTCTTCAACAGCCCTGCTCAGCTCTTGCAAACTACAAGTCTCTATGGCTTCGAGTCAATCTATCTCGTATTTGTCTTCCTTTTTCCCTGCTGCGTTCCACCTTTCCCGGCATTATTCTCTTTCCAGATAATCTTGTTTTCCTCACGATGTGCCCAAAGTAGGACAGCCTCAGTTTCAACATATTTGTCTCCAGAGATACTTTAAGTTTGATAGTCTCAAGAACCCACTTGTTTTTCTTTCTGGCATTCCAGGGTATCAACAAAGCTCTCTTCTGGTTTCATATTTCAAACGAAACATTTTTTTCCCCTGACAACTTTCTTTACTGTCCAGCCAGTACATGGTGGTCAGCAACACTATATATAAGCATGAATGATCTTGGTCTTGGTCTCCAACGAGGGGTGTAGAAACAAAAGATGGTGGGGAGAGTAACCCTGTTTATTGCAGCAAAAATAAGAACTCTGTGGCACTTTAAAGACAAACACATTTATGACCGCAAAGAATGCACACAATAGGAGTGGAAAGATAGTGGAGGCTCTAGGACTAATTCTGAATCATAGCCAGGTAAGTGGCCATCAAAATGTTTGCCCATCTCACTTAAACCCTGTGAAACATTCCCAAGGAAAGGAAAACTTGTACCACTGGAAAGGCTTGGTTGTGATAGGAGTTTTGTTAGCTTTCAAGGTGCAAGTAAAGGACGGTTGTTTATAGGAGGAATTGAGAAAAGCTGTATTGTTTTTACTGAAGTAGGACAGCCATTTCAAGAGTATTCTCTGAGCAGCCACAATATCCTTTATCTTAGTGGTCTGTGACAGTAATGCTGAAGAAGCCTCACTTACTGCTGTCTGACCTACAAAAAACATGTGATTGTTTAGAAAGGATTAGTGGGGTCAGTGGCCTTCTGCTCTTACAAGCTGAGCTCCAGCGGTATTATTCAGAGTGATTACTATTAAAGATTTCTAAATTTAAAACCACTCATAGAATGACAGGAGTAGTGGAGTCTTCTTATAACCATGGTAAACAGAATGGAGTTATTTACCCTACCACTATAGAAGTATTGTGTTAATAGAATATACAGGACCACAAAAGTAGTACTAAAAGAGTGACCTCTAGCCGCTCAGCCGAGTTGAGACTGGAAAACAACAATGCACTTTACTGTTTGGGTATGAAATAGTACAGATCCTCCCAGATTAGAATGCATACTGTCTTAATTAGTTAGAGGACAAACAAGTCAACATGCCCAGCAGCAGTATAAAGCAAAGCCAATCTATCATGTCTTCTGCTGCAAAAATTGATGGGAACGCAAATGTATACAAATAGAAAAAAACAAGGGCAGGGATTGCCCTAGAGATAAACTTGTTGGTTGAATGATTATATCGAACTTGGAAGCAGCCATGGCTCTGACTGAATTACAGAATAATGAAATAAAAGTGGAGTGTTCTTGCTCTTATTAAGATGAAAATACTGTACTAATTGATTCATTTGAAATATGGTGCTGGAGGACAGCTTTGCAGACTGCCAGAAGGATAATCAAGTGGGTCCTAGCACAAATCAAGTCTGAATAATCACCACAAGCAAAAATGACAAAGATGAGACTAACATACTTTGGGCAGGCAGGATTCTCTGGAAAAGGCAATAACGCTAGGAAAAACTGAAGGCAGCAGGAAAAGAGGAAAAACAACTGTGAGATGGATTGACTTCTTAAAGGAAGCCACAGGCTTGAGTTCACAAGAGCTGAGCAGGGTCGTTGAGGACAAAACATTTTAGGGATCACTCATTCATAGGGACACCATAAGTAAAATTAGGAAAAACAATTAGTATTAAATAATTAGTATTATTTGAAGTTGCCTTTTATTAGGGCTCTTATTACTGTACCTGTGATGTTCAAATCTGTTTTAATTTGTTTAATTCTGTTTAAAAGTATGTTTTAACTAGTGACAGAGTTTTATCTATTTTATGGTATTTGTTGCAAATTTTTTAATATTCTATATATGTAATTTAATGTGTTGTGAACTGCCCAGAGAGTGCACACACTATGATGCAGTGTTCAAGTTGAAATAAATACTGTAAATAAATACAGTGGACCCTTGACTTACAGATGGCTTGACTTACAGACTTTTTGACTTGAGAACCGCCTTCCAATACGGATTAAGTTCTCAAGTCAAGACCCCACTGTAGGAGATGACTTGACAGCACGTAACAACAACAATAATTTATTGACCCACACAGTAAATATTTCAAGTTAACTTCTCAAGGATGATAGTTTTTGTTTAAATAACACTGCCAACAAACCCTAATTGAAGTTAAAACTAATTCATTTTAATTGATAGACAGTTCCCAACCACAGCTTCCTTATAGCCAGAAGAATACAGATTATTTTTATGTACATCTGCCCACACACTTCCAGAAATGTTTCATTTAGCCATTGATTCAAATGCATCCTGATTATACCATTCAGCAACTAAACAGCATATTATTTAATACTTTCCAACCCATTTTGATACCTCTTTTCATTTAAAAAAAATCCTGAAGTGTTTTACAATAATATAATGTTAAAAAAGATAGAATACAATAAACGCAAGAAATAAAGTAATTTTAAAAATCATATTTCACTAAAATAAATTGTGGGAACTTACAGGGTTAACAGTCAGGAAGATGTCTGAGCAACAATTGGTGGCAGAAACATCGTGTATTGAGAAATGGCCACCCGCTCTCAATGGGAAGAGTGTTCCACAAGGGGGGGGGGAGATCCCCATGAACAGAAAGCTCTCATCTCCACTGTGACCATACAAGAGTGTTGAAAACTAATTATTCCATTATTACAACTTGAGTCTGAAATAAACTAAGATACATATAGAGCTGAAAGCTTCTCCTCACTTTGTAAAGTGATAGCAATGTCTATACAGTATTCTGAAAACATCAGTGCTCTCCAAGTGATAGGATATGCAGTATACAATAACAATCAAGAATTAGAGTCTTAAAATTAAGAATTTATTTGGTTCTGTGTAAGTTTTATTCTTCATACACCAAGGCAGTAAAGCAGACTCTTGCTGAAATCAGGAAGATTATGAATATTTGTAACATCATTATTAGCATCTCTTACAAGTTTTCCTTGAGCTGACAGAAACATTATGTGCTTCTGCTGTCCACATGAGCCTAGTCTATTAACTTTATGCCTAATTAAACAAACTGCCTGTAGGAAGATAGAATGGTAATTAATTTTAAACCAGATGAAAAGCAGAGCAGGAGAGAGAGAATGTAATGTAAGACATGATTGTGTTATAAGCTTTGTAGATTATAACTAGAATTGGGACAAAATAAATGAACACAATGGAAATTGTATAAAACAAGGCTCCATGGGTGGTATAATCCAGGTCAAATAAAATTAAATATCAACATGGACTTATAATAGCTACTGTTAAGATATCAGCTAAGTAGCAAATGGTTCTTAAGGTAGCCTGACTTTGCTTCTAAATGGAACCTGTCCTGCTTTCTCCAACATCCTAATAAAAGGAAATGTGATATAAAGACCTAACGAGATTGGGACAGGGCTCAAAGCAGTTGGGATATGATGGGAAGCCATTTAGTGCTCAGGGATATTTTTAATAATAATAATTGTGTGCTGTCAGATCAATTCTGGTTTATGGTGATCCTTTCCAGGGTTTTCTAGGTAAAGAATTCACAGAAGTGGTTTAGTATCCCCTCCTTCTGAAGGCATGCTAGGACTCTGCAGCTTACCCAAGGCCACACAGGCTGACTTTATGCACAGGAGGCACACTGGGGAATCAAACACTTGACCTCTGGCTCTGCAGCGACCTAACCACTGTGCTATCCCAGCATACTTTTAGACCTTCTTAATGAACTATGGCAAGTTCTTAAAGAAATGGGAGTGCCTGATCACCTTATCTATCTCCTGAAAAAGCTATATTTGGGACAGGAAGCAACAGTTAGAACTGGATATGGAACAACTGATTGGTTCAAAATTGGGAAAGGAGTATGACAAGGCTGTATATTGTCTCCCTGCTTATTTAACTTATATGTAAAATACATCATGCAAAAGGCTGGACTGGATGAATCCCAAGCCAGAATTAAGATTGCCGGAAGAAATATCAACAACCTCAGATATGCAGATGATTGGTGGCAGAAAGTGACGAGGAATTAAAGAACCTCATAATGAGGGAGAAAGAGGAGAGCGCAAAAATGGTCTGAAGCTCAAAATAAAAAAAAAACTACGATCATAGCCTCTGGTCCCATCACCTCCTGGCAAATAGGAGGGGAAGATATGGAGGCGGTGACAGATTTTACTTTCTTGGGCTCCATGATCACTGCAAATAATGACAGCAGTGAAGAAATTAAAGGATGCCTGCATCTTGGGAGGAAAGCAATGAGCCGCCGAAAAATTGATGCTTTTGAATTGTGGTGCTGGAGGAGACTCTTGAGAGTCCCCTGGACTGCAAGGAGAACAAACCTATCCATTCTAAAGGAAATCAAGCCTGAGTGCTCACTGGAAGGACAGATCCGGAAGCTGAGGCTCCAATACTTTGGCCATCCCATGCGAAGAGAAGACTTCCTGGAAAAGATGCTGATGATGGTAAAGTGTGAAGGCAAGAGGAGAAGGAGACAACAGAGGATGAGATGGTTGGACAGTATCATTGAAGCTACCAACATGAATTTGACCAAACTCTGGGAAGCAGTGGAAGACATGAGGGCCTGGCATGCTGTGGTCCATGGGGTCATGAAGACTCAGACATGACTTAACGAGTAAACAATAACAAAATATCAGAACTTAGAAATTGTAGTCCCCGAA